TTTCTTTAAGAGTGTTTTGTGACCAAAATTAAACACCCTTCTACTGTAATTATTTATTTCTTATCTCATATTCGATGGTGATAGACTGACTTTAATAAATCGCAAAGCATCCGCCGGTCTGCACAATGTGTAACTAAAAATAATATAGGAAGTGTTTTGAATTTTGTTTTTTAATTAATTTTTGCGCGATTAGACTCTATTTGATCTTTCGGCAGACTTACTACGTAAAGCCAAGGACCAACTCTCCGAAACGACAAAAAGGGCTTACACATCGTGCATCGTATTATTTTTTTTTCTTCTTCAAATATGTAGAATAATAAATAAAACAACGAAGGATGTGGAAGAAATAAGTGAAAATGTTTTATTGATGCACTTTGAAAAAATCCACCATACTGTAATTTTATATATTTTATTACAATACGCAGTTTTTTGACAAACGGATAAAGCAACAAAGTGTATTAAAAATCGTAAATCATTTTTCAAACGCCAAAATACTTTTACAAATATTTACACGAAACAAAAACTCACAATTTCACCCAAAGAAAATCTTTTTGAAATATGTCTTTCTTACAAAATTTCTTACCCTAATTTCTTATTGTCTGTTTTAGGAGCCTCATGTAAATGAAAGTGGCAACCACGGAATGTTTTGTGACGTGTTTTGATTTGTGGTAATTCTAGGTCTTTCGTTTTTCCAATCCATAAATCTGCTTTTCCAACTGGTCTCGTTTTTACAGTTTTTTTAAAGTGTCGATTTTTTTAGAGAATTTGTATTGTAAATCCAGCTTAAGGTTGTAAATCTGCATTACACTGTGAACAGTATTTGCTTATTCCGAGATCACTTTTATCTCCTAGCTATTGTTTCTAAAGTGATAAACATGTTTTGAAGTAGGAGACGTCGCTTCAAAACAATACAGCCCCCGGCATATTTGTACGTTAATTCTTGCCAGAGGTTCAGCAGGAGCAGGGAGTGTAGATTACAATCGGATATTTCGGATTTGATGTGTTGATTTTGTTCGAGGGCGGCCGATCACATAGTCTATTTGGCCAGATTGAGACGTAACGTTGCGGAACGGAACGGTTTATGCAGATGATGGAGATGTGATAGGCTGGGGCATTAATGTGATCATCAGGGACGGAAAACAGCAGAACAAATTTAGATAAAGTCAAACACATGCGTGGATAACGGGTTACAGATACAGATAAGATAAAGTGTTATTGCTTCAGGGAGGTTTGTTTCACAATTTTCGATAAAATTGATCGTTTCGTTTATGTCTAAATAGTGTTACAAGTCATTGAATGCAAATGAGGACATATTGAAAAGTTGGTGGCACATTTTCTATTCGAAATGTAAATGCTCAAAGCCGTACGCTCTGAAAATCATTATTATGGAAATGTGCGAAAAATTCACAAACTTTTCCTGCTTTCACTTTTTAGTCACACTGTCTAAGAAGCCATTACAATCTTTAAACTCCATCTTGAAATGTTTAAAATTAAATATAAACATGTAAACTTATACTTAAATATTGCATCTACTTCTTTATAGAAGATCAAGAATTGTATTTGGATGATCTAAATTTTTTACTCCAAAACACGTTTTTTAGGTGAAAGTATGTTCTTGAATGACACGATCTTTTGTTTTATTTCTTCCTTGGGCTAGAATTGTTCGTCTGAAAAGCGTCGTTGATGTATGTTGGTCGATTTTTATCGTCCGTTCTGGCGTCCTACGTGCGTCTTTGTGCCGGAAGGTAGTTTGTTGCGTTGCATGGCCCGTACGCAACACATAATCCACCCATTAGTTCCCGCTATCTGTGATCTTTCGACGGGATAATAAACGCTCCAGGATCGATTTTATGCATACTGAATGAGTCGACAACTTTGAGAGCACGTACCGCACTTAAACCAACAGTCAGCTTTTTTGTTTAAACTATGACCAGATCATACCACCCTTGCTGGATTACCCACTTGGAGGTGTGGCGATAAATGAATTTTGGAGAAAACTAGCCGAGTTCTCACTTGGTTTGGAAATTTTTACCGTTCGTTGAAAGTCACGCAAGACGACTAATGACGTCCGATCTGATTCCCGAGTCCGGACGGGCGGTTATTGGAGATTTTTTCAAGAGGAAGGAGGATGAATCAGCGCACCCTCCCGAATAACTATTAACCTGACAAAAAATCCTTTGTTGGGGGAATCTGCTGAATTAAGGAAGAACGAACCGTATTGATTCAAGAAAATTTCCCTAATCTTGCGAAAAGGTGCACTGTTTCGAAAGTTATAACGAAGAAAAATATAATTTTGTTCTAAATTATTCGACAATTTTAAATATTTCAAACTGCATTTACTATTCACTGAAGTAGGCTTTTTTAAGATTCGTTTACTTGAATTGACGAGTAATAATCCACCGGAAATAAAACAGAAATATTGAAAATGATCCGAATGTTCAGCGCTTTTAAAAATGTCTTGTTCACTCGACTGTGCTTGGAAAGGAAGTTATTCCACTCAACTTCACTCTCAACGAGAAATTTAAATAAAACTCGTGCTTTCTCCGTTAAATACCGCTTTTTCATATTTCATATTACGAAAAAGAAACAAAATAGTTCTTTGGTGTTTTCTACTTAATCATGTTTTACAAACAACAAAAAGAGAAAAACCTCACCCGTCTTGTTATCTTTTCATTAAATTTCGATAATAGTGTTTGAAAACTTGCCCGGAGTCGAAAGCGGTAGCGTTAATTCAAGGACTTTTTTGTGATGAACACGTTTGTGGCATGAGGGGTTAAACAGGGTTGAGATGGTGCAAGGGCCAGAGAATATGTGAAATGTGGAAATGGAGAAATTCAATTTTGCATGTTACACGACTTTGACACAATGTTTTCAGGACAGGTTAAGACAAGTCAGTCAGGGTTAACCAAGAAATAAATAGTTCAGTTACAGGATAAGATCAAGCAAAAAAGAATGCTATGCAAACAATGTATTTATTTTTTTGCAAGTCAATAAATAACTTCCAGTAATAATGCTGTGTTTTTTTTTATAACAAATGTTAATTTGCTTTTATAGAAGTGAGTAAAATAATAATTTTATTTATTATAAAATTTTATACATTATTAAGTACTTTATACTTTACTAAGTTATTGTTATTGCATCGTGATGAAAGCATCGTTTGCACAATTCCTGCAAACATCTTTAACTTCATAAATCCCGTCTGAAAAGCGTTTCATTTATATAACGTTTCGGGATTAACAGAACTTTAATTACTTTTGAATCGGCAGACTCATCAATCAAAAACTCTCGGTAGTAACTTTGACGTATTGCTTCTGTGTCGATAGATGTTGGTGGTGGCGTAAGTGTATGCAAATGGACGGTTGGTCCTCTGCAATTTGTATATTAATCTACGTCAATTCCCGGTATCAAACCGTTATCTCTTGTACCAGACAGATGCTCATTTGGGAGCGAGCTCTGGGGACCACTAGCTGACTACCGGCGGCTAAATCAACCATTAAGTTGGCCGACAAGCAACCGTATTCAAACGCCATTCACAATCCTTCCGCTGCTTGAAAGGTATTGTTTCGGAGCAGAGATGCACCAAGTCTGAGTTTTCGATGATGACAAAAGTCTTGGGAATACGACTCAGAAATTGTATTTGCCCTGTGACAGAGTTTATATTCAGCTGTGTTAAAATTGGATCGTTGACTTTTAAATGCTTAATTTACGATTATTCTCAAAACTGTTTGCTTGTAATTCCGAAGTAGGGATACTAAAGTGATTCCGGAGCAATCTTCGAGACGTTTAAGCAAAATTTAACTCAATTTTAATGCCACATTGAAGTCTTCCCGGCTTTGTTCTAATAGAATTAAGCTGGTAATTTTCTTATATTTTCACTCGCCAATTATTAAGTGTTGTTTTTGATACGCTTTGCATACTCGATTAGAGAAAACTGACTGATTTACATAATTTTTGTTGAAACAACCTATAAAATATAACGCAGACCTAATTTGTGATCAAAGTAGTATTTAAATACAATTTAATTTATTTACATCTGTTTACGGATATACTCTAAGAGAAAATGAAATAATATTTGCTGCTTGTTGAATAATAATAATAAACACAATTATTCCGTTTTATTCTGGTTTTTGTTTTGTGGTAACAAAATAATCTTAAAAATTATTTTTAAAATGAGAGATATTGTGGTTTTGCTAACGTTTGGGGGATAATGCCTGTTACGTTAGATTTTTTGATATGTAAGTATTTAAAAAGATTTTTCATCATAAAAATGCTTTTTGGTAAAACTAACAATATATGTTAGTAACAACACAGTATTTCAATATGGTTTCCATATATCGGTGCATTAGTAGTGAGTAAATAACAAATAAATCTACAAAACATGAAACCGCTACATGAATTTTCGAAAAGTTCTATGGTCAATCAGCGTTCTCCATTACGAAGCTCTCGAATCAGTATGAAATGTAGATAGCCTATCCAAAATTGTTTATTTTTAATAAAACATTTGAATACTAGAGTAATTTAGTTTAGTTTATCTAAAACGTCATTGAATTATTGACGAAATCACATCAAACAATCTTTTCGATAAAAGCGTAGGTGGCATTCAAGGGACAGTAGGGACTAGTAAAGTTCGTTCACGCGATTAGAAAAGTATTGGGTGAACGATCGATAATTTATTGAGTGAATTGTGCACGTACTTGTTTTACTTTTTGAATAATTAACTTCATCTTCCTTGTCGGAAATGTAAATTAATATCTACAAGAACGTCAAAAGAATAATTGTTTAATTTTTTCTTTTTTAAAAGTAAATTTATCGAAGCTGTTTCTTTGCCACAACCACAAAACAACGAACAAAGATAGTGAATATGAATATGTACTCATGATAATGTTGTAAACAAGCTTGTAGCAGACAAATATTTACAATAGATTTCTGTAATGAAATGTAACCATTATTTATGTTGATGTATATTTTTTTAGCGATTTGGACTAAAAATAAGAGAATAATAAGAATGTGTATTTATGTATTTCATAAGTAACTTTTAACATGTTTTATTGAGAAATTATATTAATTTTTATCACTGAATGGACATAAGCACGGTTTTCTAATTTCTCCAACTTCTTTGACGAGTATGACTCTTGGAGAATTTCCATCAAAGTCAATAGTAACATGAGAAGCTTTCATGGTATCTTCATCGATAGAAGAAATCATAATGCTAATATTACTGGGTTCTTTTCCATAAATTTCTTTCCATATGTTTTTAGAAGAAAGTACTATTTTATTCGAGTTACTGTAATTGATTTCGGAGTCATGTAGGTTATAAATATTAGTTATTTCTGTTGAGACATTTTCGTTAGGGAAATAGTCAGTAACTAGTGCAAGGGATTCTTCGGTGGGTTTGCTTAAATCTTCATCGCTGTTTGAAGTTTCAAGTGATTGTAATGATTCGTCAGATTTTCTTTCCTTTTCTGGGGTTTCTGAAACATCACTACTTGATGTTGTTTCTGAAATTTCCTTAGACATTAGATTGTCTTCGTCTAACTCTGTACTTGAAGATGTCACTATTTCTGTTGTGGAAGGAGTTATTTCAAAACTATTATTATTATCTGATTGTTCATTTGATGACAAGGTTTCTTCTTCTACACTTTCTGGAACGTTAATAAAATCATTGCTATTCATAGTTGTTTCTGAAATATGTGCATCTTTTTTAATGAAGTCAGTTGATTCTTCTGGCGCAATTGCTTCTGTGGTAACAATATTTTTATCTGTTGACATTTTTGAGATGCTTGAATCTTGATCTGAGGATAGATTGTCCACATTCTCTGATGATTCTTCATGTGAACTATTATTTAAATCAGCTTCTAGTGATTTTGTTTCTTCCTCTTTATTTCTTAGGTTGTCGGCTGAATCATTTGTAGGTATTTCTGTGGTTTCCGTAAATATATCATACAAGTTTTCAGTTGAAATAATATCAAATGACTCAGTTGGATTTGCTTCTAAAGATTCAGTTTCTTTTTCTTTACTTTCTGGAATGTTGCTTGACGTTTCTAAGGTATTTGTATCTTCATTTGAAGTGTCTGAAGATGTATCATGAACATTATCTAACGTTTCTTGTAAACTATTAGATAAATTAGCTAAATCAGCTTCTGGTGATTCGGTTTTTTCTTCTTTATTTTTGAGGTTGTCGGTTGAATCATCGGTGGGTGTATCTACAGTTTCTATAGATTCATCATATGTGTTTAAAGATAGGTCAGTTAAATTATCTGGTGATTCTTTATTTAAATTATTAGATAAATTAGTTGGATCGGCTATTGGTGACTCAGTGTCTTTTTCTTCGATTTCTGACACGTTGATTGAATTATCTGTTGTCATTTTCAAAATCTTTGTTGTTTCATCTGATTTAATTGAAAGTTGATCAGACACATCGTCAGACTCGTGATTTGAATTATTTAGATTGACATCTGAAGATTCAGTTTTTTCTTTACTTTTTAGATAATCGGTTGAATCAGTTATAGGCGTTGTAGTATACACAGGTATAAATATAGATGAATTAGGAAGAATGTTTGATAATAAATCTTCACTTGAATTATTAGATGACTTAATATGATCGGCTGCTGGTGATTCAGTTTCTTCTTCTTCAATGTCTGACATGTTAATGGAATTATCTGTAGACGTTTTTAAAGTCTCCGTTTTTTCATCTAATTTATTTGAAAGTTGATCAGACACATCGCCTGACTCTTGACTTAAATTATTTGGATCAGCCTCGGATGTTTTAGTTTCTTCTTCTTTACTTTTTAGGTTGTCGGTTGAATTTTCTATGGCCATTGTTGTAGTCGACACAGGCACATCTAGTTTATTTAATGATGGATCAGCTAGATCGTTTGATGATACATTTTTACTTAAATTATTAGATGAATTAGTTTGATCTGCTTCTGATGATTCAGTTTCTTCTTCTTCTTTTTCTTTGATTTCTGACACGTTGATTAAATTATCTGTAGTAAATTCGATGGAAGCATCCTTTTCTGTAGTAGTTTTCAAAGTCTCTGTTGTTTCATCTGATGAATTTGAAACTTGGTTAGACACATCGCTTGACTCTTGACTTAAATTATTAGGTAAATTATTTAGATCGGCTTCGGATGATTCAATTTTTTCTTCTTTACTTTTTAGTTTGTCGGTTAAATTATCTAGAAGCGTTTCTGTAGTTCCTGTAGCTTCATCTGACGTATTTGATGATAGATCATTCAAATTATCTGATAAATCTTCACTTAAATTATTAGATGAATCATTTAGATTAGGATATGATGACTCCTTTTCTTTATTTTTTAGGTTGTCACTGGAATTATCTAGGGTCGTTGAAGAAGAGTCAGTCAAATAGTCTGGTGATTCTTGATTTACATTATTAGATAAACTAGTTGGATCGGCTTCGGGTATTTTAGTTTCCTCTTCTTCAATTTCAGACACATACATTGAATTATCTGTAGTCAATTTTGAAGTCTCCGTAGTTACATCTGATGTATTTGGTAACTCGTCTGTTAATTCTTTACTTAAAGTGTTGGATAAATTTGTAGAATTTTCGTTTTCCAAATGTTGTTCTGCAGGTTTATTAGTTTCAGGTGATTGATTGTTACTGTTAGAACAGTTTAACGCTTTACCAAATCCTTGTATAAACTTTTCCCACCTAAAAGGAGGGTGGGTAGAAACAGGTGTTACAATTTCTTCTTTTTGTTTTTTTATAAGATTTTGCTTTTTAAAATTGAAAACAGGATTTGACTCTTCTTTGTCATGGTTATCTAAAGAAAAATAATTAAACTTGTTAAAAGACGGCACTTGTTTTTGTTCTCCTGCAAAAGTGAATACTTCATCATTTGACGGTTCTTTGTCAGGATTATGTGAAAAAAGGTAATCAAATCTGTCACGTGCTGGTATAGCTAGTAAAATAATAATTACTAAAAGATTTTAAAAAACGATGTTCTTACCTTTTACCAAACAAAGTAGTAACGACAAAACGAAAACAGATTTGTGCATTTTTGCTAGTGTGTCATTATTTTTGTTGTTGCAATATTTATAAGTAATTTCAGACACATAAAAAATTATTTTATAGACAAAACCGTGTTTCACGTTTTTTTTATTGTTCGTACTCGATTTTTTGTCAGGAACTGTGTTTCTGTTATCTTTACAGATCAATTTACTACTTTAATTTAAATAAAAAAAAAAGAATTATATTACATTTTGCATATTTTAATAATATTTATTGCCATTCCATAATCGAATATTTACAAAATCATGTTCGTTGTTTTCTATTAAATGAGAGTGTGCTGGTTTAATCAACTCCATGAATTCCAAGACCATTCCATATTTTTCTAGATCTTCAAATGCCCTAATTAGACCTATTAATACAAATTATGAAGTGATTAAAAGAAAAAAGCAAAGTAGTAATACACACCATCTGTCACGCCAAATACGAGAAAAACTGTTGCAAATAAAATTAGAATCTTCATGATTTTTTTGTTTTTACTAACATATACGATTCAGTTTCTTATATTTATACAACTATAAGCAATTTGTAGAAATGCATCTTGTGGGAGATGACATTATGTTAAATATTGTTATTATTTCTTGTATTGTTAAATTTGCAATGGGTAATATGTTTAAAAGTGCATGTAATAGAAGTGATTATGTAAATCAAAAGATTATTGGGTAAATATAAGAGACCGAAAAACGTGCTCACAGTGTATTATTTTTTAAACAGTAATAAATAGTAGAGGCTAATAATTAATATTTTCAAAATTTATTTTACTTGACTGTCAGATATTTTTTTATGCTACAATGGACAATCTATTATTCATTATAATAATCTATTATTCATTAATCTGTTATAGTGGGTGATGTATAAAAGGTTTGTTGTTTTTCTGTTTAATTATTAATACTATGTACTAGTTTAAAAAAATTGAAAATTAGATATATAGAAAATTTTATTGTCACGTAGTTTTAGTGTGCTGAATTTAATGTTTAATATGCAAAGTAAATTACAACTTAAATTTAGAGTATTTTTTTTTGCAACAAATCAATCTTACAAATTTA